CAGACACACACACACATACACAATGATAAGTGGCCTGTGTCAGTGCCATGGGAAGTAAAAATAAGGCCTATGTAGGTGTGCCTTCAGTTGCAAGCTGCATAAACGACATTTCTATTTGGGTTGCAGGCTTTGTAAAACACAACTAAGAAAAAACTGTGTACACAAACGGACACAAAAGATGGTAGAAATGTTTCAAATGACCTATAAACAGCATCAAACAACACCAGCACAAAAGGTAAATGTGGCTGCTCTTAACCAGTCTTCATTTTCAGGGGCTGCTATTTAAAGTCTATTTGGAAAGTAATAGCTAGTAAATGCTGTGATGCTCAGGGCAAATGGAATAATGATTGTATCGTGACCCTCTCCACTTTTTGGGGACGATCACTGTGATTTGGAAGTGTGACACTGGTTAATGGGTGCTAATGAGGAAGCCATCAACCAAGCTGCTCAACAGAGCGGGGGCCATTACATTAAGCCGGTGGGTTTTTCCAAACCAAGAGACACCAAATGTAGACGAGTGGAATGATTTACTTTAAACACTAAGTGGAGGAGAGGAAAAGTGTTCAAAATAGGATTCAAATACAGAAGTGAATATCAGTGCAATGGCTGCCCAGCCTGCTGCCAGAAATACTCAGCAGTGTATTAATTTGCCACTAAAAATAGATATGAGTAATGTTTGCTACAAACTACAGCAGCAGTAGGAGGTTTTTTTTTTTTTTTTTCTTTTAAAATAACTCCATGTTTGGAACCATTTTTAAAGATTTATATCCTTAGGATAAAGAAATTGGCTGTTTAGAGACACACATTGTTGGTTTTGGTCTTCACATTGAAATAGTTGACATTTGAAAAATATGAATTATTCCCATATTTAGCCATTCATTAGAAGATGTTTTCATTCTATGTGACATACACAAAGGCAATCAAAATTGCTAAAAACACCGGTTTACCTCGACCTTAAGGCTACATGAAGATATACTGAAGGTGGTCTCACCTTATCGGCCTGCTGGGAGTCTGTGTCTGTGTCCATCTTCTCTGCCTCTGGGGTTTCTGCAATTGACAAGTGTGGTAGAGAACTTAGCATCATGTCACAGACTGATCAAGACGGTTACAGAATTTGCATCGCAGCCTAAATGTTGACTGCAACTCTTCATCCCCCAGTGAATCGTTTATGCTGCCAGAAACCGAGAATGCAAGCAAGAGGCAGGGTGAGATTGTGTTCATGCATAATCAGACCCAACAGAACAAATTCAATATGTTCAACACTTGTGATACGACCAACAGAATGAGGCACCAGTGACTTTTCATCCTGTCTGAAATAACACCATCATAACTAGTGGTAGAGGGGAGAAACTCAGGGCAGGAAATTAAGGTCAAAAGCATTTAAAGAGAGCCGGCCAAGAGGGAAGGGTGTAAAGTGCATGCGGCATTTGCACACACTCACAAATGACCAAACACACACGTGACCGGGTGAATACATGTGTATGGTTGAGTGTTAAACCATGTCACGGGTGCACTGCAGCGTGTGTTAAGGGTCTGAATATTGATTGTGTGACGTGTGTGTCGGTCAAGTGCTTCAGGCAGGGCGAGGCACTGAACACATTTAAGCTTACTGATTGCAACTTAGGCTCTGGAGGACATTAATTCAGGTATAACAAATGGCTGTTAATATGTGTGTGTGTGTGT